TGTGTGTGTGTGTGTGTGTGTTTGTTTGTTTGTTTTTTTGGGCGGGGGGGATCGAAATTGGAAAAACCATTTTTTAAAGGGTTGTGTCAGAAAGGGGCGTTCGATATGAGAATATGATATAAAACTTTGTCCACTGTAGTTTGAAAGAATGTCTACAGTCTCCATTGTTTAAAAACTTAGAATTGGTCTGATTTTGTGAAGAAACAAGGCCAAAGTAGCCTTTACAAGGTCTAGACAAGAAACTTAAACGTGAATTTGGCTTGAAACGTACATGTTCGTCTACCTCCTGGTTTCCTTTAAACTTTAAACCATCCGCCATTAACGTCTAATATTATATGTCCTCGACATCCCATCGTCACTATAGACCCGTTATTTGGAGAAACTCGGTTGCAAATCAGGAGTGTAGCCCCGGAGTCAGACACACAGACTAATTAAAATAGGGTAGTATGAGTGAATCTTGGAAAAATCGCAATGTTATGATAGTGAGATTTCGGCTCTTTGAACAAGAAGTGAGGGTTGGATGGGAGTGTAGAAAAACGGAACTAAGTAAAAAGTATGTTTAAATTAACGTTTAACACATCACCCCATTCATTAAAAAAAGAAAAAAGTCAGACAATAGAGCAAACCCAGCAGACAACCAATAATAGATAGAGTGAATAAATGAAATTATGTCGAATCAAGGTAATATAGATCTAGTCAGCAATGGTGGGCTACTTCGGCAACACTGCTATTAGTATTAGATTGAGACGTCGTGAAGTCAACGGTATACAGCCCAGGAGAACGGCCTCGCTGTACCTCGTTGCGCTCGAGTGCTTAGTTATAATTCTTATCGTATCGAGTTATAATTATAGAAAGTGTTTTGAATTTTTACTCTTTTATATTTCGGCTCGCTGTTCCTCCATTGATATGCAGTTCTTGCCGCCGAGCCATTAAAGGTTGCCGCCGCCAGGTATGAATGAATCAAAAGACGCTGTTACTATTTCGGTGGAGCGGAGTGGCGCAACAAGCGAAACTAATGACTTATAGCGTTCTCCACTGCAGCCCGTGATAGGATTTTAATCGTAGGAGTCCGGATCTCAGCGATAAGGTGAAGGATTCACAATCACGAATTGAGACTGCGGGATTTTTTTTCCGGGGGAAAGGGGTATGAACTTGACTGGATTTGATAGCCACTTATTTTTAGTGGAATGTTACATTAGCTACATTTTCAGAAAAAAATGTTCCCTGATTCACACGGCCTCAAATAAAAAGCAGTTAACACCAATCAGAGACATAGAATCTAATAATTTGAAAAGAATTTTTTCAAAATGTTCTACGTCTTTGTGAGATTTTCTAATGGGGGATTTGAATTAATAGACTGGTAACGCGAACGTGTGAAGTGGGGGCCGTTCGATGGGTGGTATACAACACTGTATCTATCCGGAGACGTCTCCGACGGAGATAGACCAATCAAAATGCTTTGTGTCTCTGGACCAAGTGAAAAAATCGGGGGGGGGGGGGGGGATCCCCCTGTTTTAATCCGCAATTTGATGTGTTGCAGTTAGGTATGAAATTTTCTTGAAAATAATTGATTTGCGGCAGTTTTAGTGGCTATATGTATGATCTGCAGCAAACAATACGCAGTTTGGCCCTCAAAGCAGTGCATTTGTGTGCGGGAGTACGTCTCCGAATAGTTCCAGAGTGCTCGCCGGAGACGTCTCCGAATATATTCTGCAAGCTACATCATGTATCATTTTATTCATTCTTTTTTCTGCACTGCTCTGAATCACGCTAACATAAACGCACACTCATATACACACACGCACGCACACACACACACACATACACACACACACACACGCACACACACACACGCGCGCGCGCGCGCGCGCACGCGCATACGCTCACATACACATGTATCCCCAAACTTGCATCAGATTAAATGCTTGAGGAAAGAGGAGCGATAGAAATGGACTACTAGATAGAAAATTCGTCCACTGTAAACGGACTCAATTGTGGCCTCATCTTTAGAAGTTCACATCTTTTCTTTTCGTATAATGACAAAATAATTCGAGTATAATCTAGGGCTTGACTAGAAGGTTTCTATCCTGGTCAAAGGTTTGCGTTTTTTTTTAAAATGAGATAAGAACAATCAGACCAACCCCCACAGAGAGACCACACAGAGTTAAAGACAGCGTGTAAAGCCCACATAAGCGTACATGATAGGGCAATGTAACATTATATGAAACGGCAAGAGACAACACGGGTCCTATACAAAATTGTTGTTCTTATTTCTTCTGTCCACGACATGTTTTATTAGCAGCTTTGAAAGCACTTTGATGCCGATATGGCTGAACGATACAGTTAGTTAGCTGCCTGGAAAGATCGATAACACAGAGTGAACATTAATAAGAACCCCAACTTGTAACACGACGAATATATTGTGACAGTATGACCGAGATGACAGCCAGTGCGAGACTGTAGGGTCAAAGCTGGCGCCAGACTATACAGTGAAAATTGAGCCAGCAGCAAAGAAAACTGACTTGATTGAAACAAAGGCGTGTTTTTTAACTTCGCACAACGTCGCAGGTTTAGAAGAAGTGGGATGACAAGTGTCTTGATCATGATAGTAGAGGTCGAAGATAATAAATATGTATACGCTTATTTTAACGCATCCTTTCTTTTTATAGCCTTATAAATACAATTGAAAACAATAAGAGGCCTAGTGCTTCAACTTTATTTTTTAAAGGACCTATCTAGGCAGTATGGGATACACCCCAGAAGAAAGATTGAGTAACTTGATAGAAACACCTGTACTACGAAATGAGACTTGCGTCCCTTGTGAGCAAAGCAGAGTTTCTGTCAGATCACGTGTTTGAATGTATTCAGTGTATTTTGAAGACAAAA